ATATTTCATAAGGCCATAGATGTGGCTGCTATAGATGCTGATTGCTCTGATGGACCTGGGCAGAGTTCACTGAAAACCTTCTGGAAAGGATTCACCATTCTAGATGATTAAGAACATGCATGATTCATGGGAAGAGGTCAAAATATTAACATTAACAGGAGTTTGGAAAAAGTTGATTCCAACCTTCATGGATGACTTTGAGGGGTTCTAGACTTCAGGGGAAGAAGTCACTGCAGATGTGGCAGAAACAGCAAGAGAGGGCGCCTGGGTGGCTCAGTTGGTTAAGCAACTGCCTTCAGCTCAGGTCATGATCCTGGAGTCCCGGGATCGAGTCCCACATCAGGCTCCCTGCTCTGCGAGGAGTCTGCTTCTCCCTCTGACCCTCTTCCCTCTCGTGCTCTCTATCTCTCATTCTCTCTCTCTCAAATAAATAATAAAATAAAATCTTTAAAAAAAAAAAGAAACAGCAAGAGAACCAGAATTAGAAGTGGAGCCTGAAGTTGGGACTGAATTGTGGATATCTCAGGATAACATTTTCATGGACGAGGAGTTGCTTCTTATGGATGAGTAAAGAAAGTGGTTTCTGGAGAGGGAATCTATTACTGATGAAGATGCTGTGAAGATGGTTGAAATGACAACAAAGAATTTAGAATATTCCATAAACTTAGTTGATGAAGCAGCAACAGGGTTTGAGAAGATTGACTCCAATTTTACTCTGAGTAAAATGCTCTCAAACGGCATTCACACTACAGATAAATCATTCGTGAAAGGAAGAGTTGATTGATGTGGTAAACTTCATCATTGTCTTCTTTTAAGAAATTGCCACAGCCACCCAACCTTCATCAACCATCACCCTGACGAGTCAGTAGCCATCAACATCGAGGCAAGACCGTCCACCATCAAAAAGATTATGACTTACTGAAAGCTCAGATGATGGGTAGCATTATTTTTTTAGCAATAAAGTATTTTTAAATTAAGGTGTATACATTGTTTTTTTAGACATAATGTTATTGCACACTTAATAGACTCTAATATAGTGTAAATGTAACTTTTATATGCACTGGGAAACCAAAAATTCATTTGACTTGCTTTGCTGTAATACTTGCTTTATTGCAGTGGTCTGGAACTGAACCTGCAATATCTCCAAGGTATGCCTATAAAATAAGTGCCTTCTTGTTTAGGCAAACTTCCTTCCCTATGGAACCAGCAACACTAAACTTTAGCATTAGACCACGTTATCAAGATCTATCACAGTCATGATAGATCTTGTAAAAAATGGCTTTTCCTTGAGGATAGTGACACACATGCCAAATCTTTGCAGTTTCTCTCTGCACAGCTAAATTAAGAGGCTCTATCATCAATCATGTCGAATTTGTTGAAATGCTTTTTATGTCAAGTTGGTACAGCACTAGCCTATTATAGTTACTGTCAGGCTTCTCATTTTTTTTTTTTTTAAACCAGATGTTCCCAGAAGAAAGCAGAGGAACATTTGATGTGAAAGGAATGAATTTATCAGGTTGGTTGTGATAAATACACCACATTTTAAAGATACAAAAATTGGTACAGGGAGAAGCTAAAAATATCTCCAGAAGGAGGAAAATGAGTTATAAACAGTGAACACCAAAAGAGAAGGAAAATTATTTACATTAATATATTCTGTGGCGGAATATTATTTAGTCTTAAAAATGAAGGAAATCCTAAAACATGGATGAACCTTGAGGACATTATACTATTCAATTCAATCCAAAGAATATTTATTAATCTCATAATGAACTTTAGAATTATAGTTCTGTTTCTGTATCTCTTAAACTCATTTCCCCCCTCAAAATGTCTGTAAATTATTATCTCTATATTCTTAACAGAATGTATTAAGCTAGTAGTCAAAATTCTATCCCCTTCATTTATTGGTTGAGGAAGTAGAGTGGTTCAGTGACATGCCTAAAGTCAAATGAGCTAGAAGACAGCCAGGAACTAAGAGCAGTTTAGGTGTTCTGACCTTGCCCTGGGTTCTGTGCATTATGCCCTTGGAAATCCGGGTGGCTAAGGCTGCAAAAATCATGGAAAGCCAACACCTTTTCCCCTCACAGAGTCCAAATAACTCGTCCATATCTTGGATTTGTATGCGAGTCAGTGTTAGAGTGAAGCCACCTGCAGTCTGTAACACCCATTTGTGACCCCTTCACTTCTGCTTTCTTTACAACAGTAGTCTGTGTTGTGACCGTGTGCCTTTCATGTCTGGCCCATCATGGGGCTGAGATGAGCATAGTTCAATACTTGTACATGGGCTGAGTCTAAAATTTCACTCCTGGGGGCCTTGTCCTGCCACTCCACGCCCAAAACTTCTTGAGCATGTATCGTGTGCCAAGCACTGTAGTAAGTGCTTTATATGCATCTCCTCATTTAATTCTTCGTAATGTTATTATCACCATCCCCATTAAATAGGCTGAAATTCATTTGCCCAATTTGTGAAGTTGGAATGTGACAAAGCCAAGATCCAAACCCAGGCAGTTTGACTCCTGAGTCCTGATACTTAACCATTATGCCACTTACCTTAAGTTTCTACCTGGAAGCGATGTGATCTTCACATTTTGTCAATCTCTACATAATAAGAATGCTGTTTTTCCTTCTGGGACACACCTTTCTTGCCAGCTTGAAGCCAGTTTTCTCCTTCTGCATCAATCATTCCTGGATAATGTTTAAGCTAAGAGGCAGAGCCCAGTGACAGTTCTCATTTTTTTTAAGAAACCTCATGGGCTTGGGATTGTATTTCCCTTGTGTAAACTGGTATTGGATCTCAGGCTCCTCAAGGCTCTCTGTCAGCCCCCAATGCCATGCTGACTCCGCAAAGCAGTGAGTAATAAATTGCTTGCTCTTTCGGCTTCTGTGCTTTAAGAACGCAGTCATCCATCTACATCCTACTATTTCTGTGTCATTGTCAATGATATCTGATAATGTTTGTAATCTGGTAAGGTGAAAGAGCCTCCCAGGTGTCAAGATACATGTTGTGACACAGCTTTGTAAGTCCCTTACTGCATTCTCAAACACACCAGCATAGACAAAGTTGAACAGGACTGAATGTAACACAGTCTGATTTCACTCAATTTTTGTTGAGTGTTAGTAAACTTTTTTTTAAAGATTTTATTTATTTATTTGAGAGAGAGCACAAACGGGGGGGAGGAGTGAAGGGAGAGAGAGAGAGAAGAGGGGAGCCCGACTTGGAACTCGATCCCAGGACCCCTGGGATCATGCTCTGAACCGCAGGCAGATGCTTAACCAACTGGGGCACCCAGGCGCCCCAAGGATTAGTACACTTTTAAGAGTGGTCAAACTTCTGAAGTTGCCAGGATGCAATTCTAATGATTTCCAAATGCTTTTATGACATCCCAGAATGTACTTTAGAGATTTCTTATGCTATTTTCTTCACATTTCCTGTGCATTAAAATTATGTGTATTTGTAATGTATCTTGATCTTACATACATCAAGCTTTTCATTAGCTGGCCCAGGAGTTTCTAGCCAGGATTTGCATTTTCATTGTGAAGGTTTTCATTTGAAACAGGTAATATTTTGTTTAATGTAAGACACCCAGCATTGATTAGCACTACAAGTGACTGAAAGTTCAGTACATGAAAATTGGAATTTCTACCAGGACACTTGCTTCTAAATCTGTATCTCTGATACACACACACACGCACACACACACACTCTGGAAAGCCAGTAATTGATTGCATTTTAATGCATATACATCAATCCAAAAGTCTTATTTACACAAAAACATTAGACTTATTAGAAGGATCAGAACTATAATTCGTTAATTTGTTAATAGATCTTCTGATTTTAGTGTGGTTTGCTGAGGCTACCCTACTTTGTCATCAAAAGTTCTGTAAAAAAGATAATGGTTATACAATCTACACTGGACATTAGAAAGCCAAGTTGCAAGAAGAAAGCCTTCTTTTCTAATGGGAGGTCCAGATATATATAGAAAATACCTACTGGTGAGTGTCAGGAGTAGGGACAGAGATGCTGATATAGCAGAGTTGTTTGGAGTTTGTGAGACACAGCCCCTTTTGCTTTGAGAGTTATTGAAGTTTTACACTGCCTTTGAAATTCAAATTCACAGAGCGTTCTGCTCAGCCCTGCTCTGACTAGCTCCTTTGAACTTAAGTGTCTTTTCTTGGCCTACTATCAAGTCCTCTCAGTCAAGACCTTCTGGATTCAAGCCTCTTTCCCTAAGAAGGAGGGGGGTTTCATCACTGTTCCAGCTTGGGGCTCGGAATGGAGAGGGGTATAAATCTTAAGCTGGGTCTTTTAACTCCCAGCTACATCGAGGCTGTAGCGACTTTCCGTTTCACACCACCAGTGCCACTGGCATATCCACTGTTCCACCCTTGGTGGTCCAGGGGCTGAGGGAAGTCTCTAGGCGCAGACAGGAATCTTTCCTACTGGATCACACGTTGCTTGCTGCCTCGTCAGGACAGAAGGTGGTGCTCATTCAGATGCTGACAGACAGTGGGCACCAGGTGGCCTCAAGCAATTCCCAGGACTTGCTTGACAGAAGCTGAACTAAGTATTAACACTGATTCTGCTCGTCTACACCAGTTCTCCCTGTACACAATCCTCCTTAGCCTGGGTAGTCTGGCCCTATTCTCTTTCAAACTATTGTTTATATTTATACATGCCATGCTCTGCTCCTTAGAGTATTTGTTTTTAATTCTTAAAATATATTCCCACCCTGTAAACACAGAAACAGAAGTATACTCTCGGTTTTTACCTATCAAAGCTTACCAGTGTTAGAACCCAGTTTGCTAACCCCGCCCCCTTTCAAGGCCGCCCCGCCCCCCCCAGGGTGCCCCCCCCCCCCCCCGTTGTCACCTGGGGCGCAGGCATCATGGGAGATCCTATACCATCTCTACTGCGCAGACTCAGAGGTGGCTGAAGCTTTGCTGGTCTTGCACCTGGGGTGTCTGCTTCCTTGTCGTCATTTTTGCCTCAGCTCATTGACTCGCGACAAGGTTTTGAAGAACTCTGCCCCGTGTTTTCCCGGTCTGGGTGCTTGAAGAGAAGGAAAGGGCCAAGAGAACACGAAACTGCCGAACGCCGCTGGGCCGAATATTCCTTCAAGAGTCCAAGGAAACTGTCCCTGGGGACGGGCGAAGGGCGGGCCGTGGCGTGGTCCCTGCCGTCGCGCACCGGGGCGGATCGTGTGATTCTTGAGACTCAGGACCCGGTGAGTAGGAGGCCCAGTCCGGGGTGGGGTTCCCCTCACCGCCAGCCGGGTGAGATGCCTGAGGAGTTTCCCGTCCGTGGGTACTGTTCCCGCCAAGGACCATTCAGGGCCTCCCAGTGCCCGGGCCTCGTGCGGAGATCCCCGCTGGGCCGCGCGGCTGGAGCTGTGAGGGCCAGGCCGGGCCCGGGAGAGCGGGGTCTTCGGGCGAGGCCGGGAGTCCGGGACTGAAACCAGGGCAGAGGCTGGGGCGTCTGCGGAGGACATCCCAAGGTTCCAGTACAGGTGGGTCTTTGCTAGCCAGAGGGAGGGAATGGGGAGCCTGCTGTTCTTTGTCCCAGGTTTTGGAACCCTTTTTGTTACCTTTTAGGACAGGGCTCAGATTTTAGTCCCAGGATTTCTTCACACAGTTTACTGAGGACCAAAAAGCCTCTGTTCGCATGGCTTTTGTCTGTTAGTATTTATTGTCAGAAATTAAAACAGGGAAAGTTTTAAATTTCAGTTTATTTAAAACTCAGTAATGAACCCCTTACATGTTAACATTTTTATGAAAAATAACTGTTTACAAAACAAAGAATGGCATTGTTTTACGTTTTTGCTAATCTCTTTAATATATTCCATCTCCAACATTCAGTCTGTTGTGATATCCATGTCATGTAGTCTCTGGAAAACTTAACTGCACTCCAGAGAGAATGAGACTGAAAAAGATAAATAACGTCTTGGTATTATGAATAACATATTGGGATTGGTTTGCAGCCTGCATGAAAGGTCTTGGGAACTCTAGGCTCCCCACTTTGAGAACCTCTTGAGGAAGTGCCATCTGACCTCCACAGTGAAACAGATCAGGATATTTGAATTTGGCTGCTGCGAGCTGACAAATCATCTTTTTGATGATATTGTTATAGGAAGACCAGTTGTATCAAAATTATGTTTTCTTTGAGAGGCATGTCCCTAAATTTTTATCCAGTGCAAGCATTTAGCATGGGATGAGAGGCTTTGGTTTCATAATGCTCTGATAAGCGAGGAGTCATTTATCCCACACAAATTCCTATTATTTTCTTATCTGTTCTTTTTATTTGGGGCATTATTAGAGATTCTATAAAGTGAAATTCTGGTTTCCCTCAAACTCCTTAACTGTTCTTTTTCAGTGTTTCCTTTGCAGGCCCCTCCTCTACCTAAATGCACAGAAGGGAGTGGAAAAGAGGGAATTCCATCCATGGCAATACCCCTCCTCTACCTAAATGCACAGAGGGGAGTGGAAAAGAGGGAATTCCATCCATGGTAATATAAATGGGCTGAGTGTTCTCAAAGTACAAACAGGCATCTTTCCTGGTGGATGGTGGACAGCTTTCTGGTACAGTGAGGAACATTGGAAAGGCTTCTCAGTACATGAGAACTTGTAGTGTCCGGAGCCCTTTCTCTTTATGCTGTTTCCCTAGATGATTTCTTTTCTTTTTTTTTTTTTAAGATTTTATTTATTTGACAGAGAGAGACAACACAAGCAGGGGGCAGTGGGAGAGGGAGAAGCAGGCTCTCCGCTGAGCAGGGAGCCCGATGCGGGGCTTGATCCCAGGACCCCGGGATCACGACCAGAGCCGAAGGCAGTCGCGTAACTGACTGAGCTACCCAGGTGCCCCTCCCTAGATAATTTCACCTAATCTCATGGCTTTCTGTGTTTTTATTGTCAGAACACATTATCTGCCACTACTGCTTCTAATTTGAGTTCCTGGCTCAAAATTTAGTTGTCTGTATGATGTCTCCACTTTTATGTCTTTTTTTTTTAAAGATTTTATTTATTTATTTGAGAGAGCTAGTGAGAAATTGAGAGAGAGCATAAGCAGCAGGGAGGGGCAGAGGGAGAAATAGACTCCCCACCAAGCAGGGAGCCCAGTGTGGGGCTCGATGTGTGGCTCGATCCCAGGACCCTGGGACCATGACCTGAGCCGAAGGCAGACGCTCAACTGACTGAGCCACCCAGGCGCCCCTTCACTTTTATGTCTTGAGGACAACTTGAACTTAACAAAGTGAAACTGTTCTTCTAGTCTTTTCCCCTTGATGTATGCACTCAGCTTGCTCCTTCTTCAGTTTTCCGAAATTGACATTATATTCTTCTAACTTGCTTAAACTGTAAATCTGGAAGTCATTTGGACTTTTTTTTTTTTTAAGATTTTATCCATTTATTTGAGTGAGAGAGAGAGAGAGAGAGAGAGAGAGACATGAGCAGGGGGGAGGGGCAGAGGAAGAGGGAGAAGCAGATACCACCCCACCCCACCCCCGCTGAGCAGGGAGCCCAACATGGGACTCCATCCCAGGACCCTGAGATGATGACCTGAGCTGAAGGCAGATGCTTAACCAACCAACTGAGCCACCCAGGCGCCCCATCTGTCACCTAGTCTTAATCATTTTAGTTCTAAGTTATATCTCTAATTATATTAGCTTTTTTTAACTGCTACTACCCTAGTCCAAGTTTACTATCATTTTTTGCCTGGATTGCCCAACAGCATCCTTCTTATTTATTCTCCTTTTATCCACATGTATTATTGCCCCTTCTCCAATCCATCTCCAAATCTTACAAAATCAGAAGTATGTATACATTGCTTCCCTGTCAGCAGTTTTTCCGTGGCTTCTCAATGTTTTTAGGATAAAGATCAAAGTTCTTTTTTTTTTTGCCCTTTAAATAGTTATTTATTATTTTTTAACTTAATTTAATTAAATTATGTTATGTTAGTCACCATACAGTACATCATTAGTTTTTGATGTGGTGATCCACGATCCATTGTTTTCGTATAACACCCAGTGCTCCATGCAGTACGTGCCCTCCTTAATACCCATCTCCGGGCTAGCCCATCCCCTCACCCGCCTCCCCTCTAAAACCCTGTTAGTTTCTCAGAGTCCATAGTCTCTCATGGTTCATCTCTCCCTATAAAGATCAAAGTTCTTAACAAGGACTCTAAGATACCATGTGATCTGCCACGTCTCCCTCTCCAGCCTCTTCTCCTACCCCTCTTTCTGTCATTCTTTATAGTTCACTCATAGCAGGTTTTATTCATTCAGTGGCCCACATTTATGATTGAGCATATAATTTGTGCCAGATACTGTTGAGGCACTGAGGATACAATGGTGAACAAGGTCAGGGATCCTATTCTCATGGAAATTATATTCTGGAGTAGGGAATTAGGCTACAGGCAACCATACCAATAAATATCAAAGATCATTTCAGAGGGTGTAAGTTCTATAAAGAAACAAAACATAATGTGATAGAAAGAAAGTGATGACAAGCTACCTTGAACTGGGTGGTCAGGGAAGACCTCTGTGAAGCTGAGCTCATAATGACAAGAAGCCAGGTCAGCCATGTGAATATATGAGAACAGAACATTCCAAGTGGTGATGACAACAAAGATAAAAGCTCTGAGGGAGAAACAAGTTTGTTTATGAAATAGACAGACCAGTGTGGCTGGTTCATGGTAAGCTAGCATGTTAGTTTTCTGTTACTGCTGCAACAAATTATCGTAGTGGCTTAAAAAACACAAATTTACTGGTTTACAGTTCTGGAAGTCGGAAAGTCTGAATGGATTTCACTGGGCTAAAATCAAGGTGTCAGCAGGACTGCATTCCTTCCTGGAAGTTCTAAGGGAACATATATTTCCTTGCCTTTTCCAGCTTCTAGAGGTTGCTCACACTGCTTGGCTCATGGCCATCACCCTCTACCGTCAAAGCAATGTGGGTTGAGTCTTATATTGTGTCATGTTGATGACCTTGTTTCTGTCATCACATCTCATTCTCTTGACTCTTAGGCCTCCCTGTTCTACTTTTAAGAACACTTCTGATTACATTGGACCACCTAGAGAATTCAGGATAACTTTCCATTTTAAGGTAAGTTGATTAGCAGCCTTAATTTCATCTGCAACCTCAATCCCCCTTAGCTGTATAAAGTAATGTATTCACAAATCCCAGGGATTAGGGTGTGGATATCTTGGGGAGGGAGATATTCCACCTACCACAGGAAGAAGAGTGTAGAAGATGAGACAGAGAGATGAGTTTGGACCGGGTTATAAAAGGCATGTAGGCTAGGTTAAGGAGTTTGGATTTTATTCCAAGAAAGGGAAACCCCTTGGAAAGTTCAAGCAGAGCAATGGAGTGATCAGAATTGCATTTTAAAAGGAACATCTGTTTGTCATGTGGAATTGGATTTAAAGAGGGAAAAAATGGCAGTAGGGAGACTAGTTGAGGAATATATAAACTTGTCTGCATTTGTTTAGTTGGATTAAGGTGATAGTGATAAAGGTGGAGAAAAGCGAATGATTATAGGATATATTTTGGAGTTAAAAATTTGCAAATATATATGGAGGTAAAGGAAAGAGAAGAATGAGGGATGAGGCTCTCACTAAGTTGGGGAAGGCTAGAAGATCAGCACATTTGAGGAGATGGGAATCAGGTTTTTTTTTCCTTGTTAACTTAAAGAGCTACATTTGGTATTCAAGTGGAGACGTCAAGAAGGCAATTATATGTAAGAGTCTGAATCTCAGTGGAAAATCAGATCTAGAAGTACGGATTTGAGAGTTACCACCTAAGTGGGATTAAGGACATGTGACTGGGTGATACCTTTTAACTGTATAAATACAGAAAAGTAAAGGGCCTAGGATCAAACCCGAGGGCTCCAATATTAAGGGTCAAAAAAAAAAGAAGAGCCAGCAAAGAAAACAGAAGGCAAGCCAAGAGATTGTTTTCAGTTTTTTCATGAGGCAAGGGGGATGATTAGCAGTTTGAATACTAGTGAGAGATGAATGAGGTGAAGAGAAGTGCCGGTTGGATTTAAAATATGGTGGTCATTGCTGACCTTAAGAACAGTTTGAGTGGAGTGGTAGAGATGGAAACCTGAATGAAAAGTGTTAAAGAGAGAAACAGGTGAGAAAATAGAGGTGGCTCTTGTAGACAGTTCATTTATATTCTAAAATGTGTTCTGTGCCATCCCAATGTGAGGCTTTTGCACACTGTTTCCTCTGCCTGGCATCTCTTTCCTCTTTACCATACCACTGGTCCTTGTTAAGTTAATCCACATACTCGAACCTCAGCACTTATATCCCTTCCTCAAAGAGGGCTTTCCTGATTATCCCAGTCTGTCTGCTTGGAAGAGGTCTTCCTGTGATAATCTTTCATAGTGCACCTCACATCTTAAAACTATATAGTTAATGGGCCCACCTCCCCCATACACAAATGCATACACACATATTATGTACATGTCAGCCAGTAAAGTCCGTAAAGATGGGATGATTTCATTTTTGCTCATTATTGTATTTCTAGTATATAACCCATTGTCTAGCACATAGTAGTTTCTCAATATTCAGCTCATTTATTTAACTCATTCATTGAGTCAGTAAATAAATTAATGTTATATTTTAAACCTTGGATGAATGATGCGGTCTTGTGTTTTTTTTTCTGTAGTTCATTGTTTACATATGATAGATAACTTGGTAGCCATTCATGAAATCATACAAAGACCTATCAGGAGCACTTTGATTAACAACTAATAAACATTTTGGCCTGAAAAACAGTTGAGCATCTTTTGCCACAGACTCTTGATGAAGAGCTTCGTAAGTCATTTTAGCTTTGACATTGAAGAGCTACATGCTATTCCCAAAGGCTAGTATTCCCAAGGGCTGACAAAAAGCTGTTCTGAAGGTATGGAATATTTTTGTGTGTGTGTTTCTTATTAGCTGGGTCACATTGGGAGACCACTTAAACTCTCTGGGCCTCAGTGTTTTTATCTGTAAATTGGAGGTCATTGTCCTTATTTTGCCCACCAAATAAAATATGTGAGAACACTTTGAAAATTCTAAAGCACTATGAAAATCTAAAGTATTATTACCATTATGATTCCTTTTCTGTTACCGAAACAGGAAGATGAAAATAACCTCACTTGTTTTCCTCCCTTTTAAACTTGGTATCCTGTGAATGGGACTTACAATAAGAGTAGATGGCATTAAACCTTTTTTTACTGCTTCAGGAGCCAGGTTCTCTAGTATTTTTATTTGAATCCTATTTTGTACTGTAATGCATTATCTCTTCCCTTTGTTCATTTGATAAGGAAAATCTGCGTCCTAAGATGGCCAAATGAGCTGACGAGAGAGTCCCAGTCCTTGCCCCGGGGTTGTTCTCCCTGCCCCGCTTCACCCATGCGCCAAAAGTGCCACGTATGCGGAAGTTAGTGTATAAATTGCCCCCTTTGTTTGTGCTCAGGGCTCAGACCTTTGGAGACCACTCTCCTCTGATCCCGCCAGCGTTAAATAAACCTCCCATCCTCCGAGATCACCGAGTGCTGCTTGGTTCTTCTGTCGGGCGATCCAGTCCAGGTTCCGTAACACATTTACTTCTCGGGAACAAAACAAATCATTTTTGGACTTGGAATCTGTAGGCATAAAATGTGCCCTTCTTGCTCTTCAGAAATAAAAACTCTAAAAACATGAAACTTGAAACTTGTTTCAAGGTGCTGTCGGATTTGAGGTGAAGAATTTGAGAAAGACCAATATTTCACCTAACAAAAGTCTGAGAATATGAAAATGCCTTTGTGCTACGAGCAGTCTTTCTAATTTGTCTACATAATATGTAAATATAGAATAATTTTCACAAACCATACAGAAGAATCTATTTTATTGCTTTACAACTGTCCATTTCTAAATGTGTGTGTATATTAATACCATATTTAGTGCAGTTGATTAGAGTTTCAAGGATAGAAATACATAGACCTTGGTGTAAGTTTCAGCTTCGCTGCCTGCAAACATGTGGTTGTGTGCAATTTATTAACTCCTCTGAATCTTTTTTTTTCATCTTTAGGAAGTTTTTCATAGACTGTTGTGAGAACTAAATGAAATAATATTGAGAAAATAATTTAGTTTATAGTTTTATGAGCTAAATCAGTAAAGATTTATGTTATATATTATCATAACATTTATAATATTAATATATTACACATAATTGTATTGATTAATATAATATACATGTATTATTTTAGTGTTAATTAATAATATAATTAATATAATATTCACATATTGGTATGTATTTTTTGTATTTTCCTATTATGGGTTGAGTTGTATCCCCCTCCCCAATTCATATGTTAAACTCCTAACACTCAGTGCCTCAGAATGTGACCTTATTTGGAGATAACGGTCTTCACAGAGGTAATCAGGTTAAAATGAGGTCATTAGGGTGGGCCCTCATCCAGTATGACTGGTGTCTTTATAAAAAGGGGAAATTTGAAAAATGATATGCACCCAGGGAACAAACCATGTGAAGATGAAGGCAGAGATCAGGGTGATGATTCTATAAGCCAAGGAATGACAAGATTGCTAGCAAACCTCCAGAAGCTAGGCATGAGGCATGAACAGGTTCTCCCTCACCACCCTCAGAAGGAACTAGCCCTGCCAGCAACCTTGATCTAAGACTTCTGGCCTCCAGAACCAAGAGAAAATAAATTTCTGTTGTTTAAGCCACTCAGCTTGTGGGTACTGTGTTACAGCAGGCCTAGTAAACTAATACACTTGCCCACTGGAAAGTGAGTGAGGGTAGTCACATAGATTTTAGGGTGCAGAACATGGGCAGGGACACCAGGAGCATTCTCCTGTACTTTCTCTCATTGTCCATTACTGAAATCCTACTTATCCTTCCAGATCTAATCCCAGAGCCATTTCCTCCAGAGACTTTCCCAGTCTTCTGGTCAGAAGCAGTTGCTTCCCCTTTGGTGCTCATAACAGAGAAAGGCAAGCATTATTTCCCTAGTTCATCCTTTCCCTCTGTAATTCATTCCTCAAGTGAAGCTAGATCATGTCATGTGAGAATCACCCCTATATTCTAGTTGATTTTTCACCCCTGTCCCCAACCCATTCAACTCTTAAGAGTTTTGAGAGCAAGGGATATATGTCATTCACTTGGGGTATGTCAGCCCCATCCCCTCTCATCTAGGGTGGAGGACAGTGCTTACATGGAACACAGAGCAGATGCTTAGTAAATATTTCAGGAATTGAACTTTTTTCTCCTCACTTTCCCCATCTTCACTACACTGCCAGAGAACCTTTTAGAGAGGGAGGAACTAAAGTTAGCTGGGTAGGTAAGTACCTAAAATACACTTTTTTGTTTTTGCGGTTTATGGAAAGGGAACTTGGGGCCAAAAAGCAGCTGGGGGATATTAGGAAGTTTAGGGCACAGAGCCAAGTAAACTGAGTTTTCTCAGTTGAGGAGGAGGATGGGATTGGATTGATAGCCTTGAGAGTGGTTCAGGGATGCAAGTCTGAGGTTGGTCAGGTTGGGAATCCTGGTTGTCACTGTGAGAAGGAAGGTACAGTTACAGTGCCAAAACACATTAGGGCGTGGGAGAGGATAAGAGGGAAATGGCAGGGATCACTTTTTGTTCAGCTACTAGTCAGGAAGGAGGACCTGGGACTGCACAAAAATCATAACGTGATAAATACAGATGAATGTATCTGAACAATAATACAGAATATTTGAAACTGGAATGATTCTGGGAAGTGTGTCATGCATGGTTGCTATTGTTAGAGAAATGGTAATGGAAAGATACCTGAAGTGATGGTCTTTCCTTTTTCTAGTTTCTGTTGTTTTTTCCCCCTGGCCTATCTTGAGTATTGAACTGACTTATATTTTCATTGTGTTTTTGTCTTAAGAGCAGGGGAATTGATGAAATTATTGGTTCTCTATAGTCCTTACTGATTTTCCCCCCACTATTTAAAATTTTCCTCCTTTTGCTCTAGGCTCTCCTAAGACAATTTAAATTCCTTTTTATTATTTCCCAAGATCAAGAGAATTTCTACTTTGCTTGGAGATATCCTATATCTGTCTTAATGGCTTAAGGAATTTTGCCTCCTTCCATTGTTCCTATAATGTCTAAATGAATGGGACTTACAAAGACATTTTCTCATTGGATACTGCCTTCGAGCATGAGAATACCTGTATCACTAATCCCTTGAGTTGAAGGGAATTTCAATATATTGTTATTTGCAGGCAGTGCTAGTTTTCAGGGGTAGAGAATGCAGTTGATAGGAGGAGTGTGGTCAGCCACAAAGAAGTGTAAGATACTGTCTTTGTAATTGGGCCATTTTTTTTTCAAAGTTATCTGTAAAACAGACTACCATAAGCATGAATTATATAGTAGTGTAACTTTGTCTCTAACATAATCTATCTTCAAATGTATAGATTATAGTCATGTTACATTTTACAAAATTTCTGCTATGGCATATTCACTGTCTTTCACATTGTTCCATATGGGCATGTACAGGGAATGGGCCTATGTTTCCACCAAGTACTTCCAAAATTCTGTGTTTGAGTAGCACTCTTCAATCTCCCAGGAGCCAGCTTGTATGCTCTGTTGAGGAGAGGTGAGCTTTTGGCAAATAACATGATACACATGCTCATCATAATGAAAGAAATAAGCCGATAAACCTGCAACTCTTTTTTAAGTTAATGAGTTTTTGCCATTATAATTTGTAACAGATCCAGAAAATACCCCCCCCCCCTTTTTTTAAAGTAAATGAACAGTTAGGGAACCATCTGTGAAACATTGGAAAGAATTGTATATTTAACTCAATGTAGTTAATATTCTTAACTTACCTTTGACCCTTGCTCTGAAGACTTTTTTTACGTGGATTATAAGAACATGTTCAAAGATATTTTAAAAACTGCCATATGCTTAAGTTGATTTATATGCTTAAAACATGGCGTTTGGCTATAGAAAAAAAGGGAGCCCATATTGTGAACTGTAGTGTGTATAACTCAAGTGCTAGAGGAGTTGAATAGAGAGGAGGCAGAGTATGGTAGTTAAATAGCCAAGCCTGGGTTCAAATCCCAGCTCTGCCACTTACTTACTAGCTACGTGACTTTGGATAGATAATTTAATCCCTCTCTGCTTAAGTTTCTTCTTTAATGAAACTGTGGGAATGCCTTATAGGTTTTTGTAAGGTTAAATTAGTTAATATTTATGATGTAATGAAAATAGTGACTAGCTGATAGTAGGTGTAAAATAAGTGTTAAGTAAAATTCTTCCCATAATTAGCAATAAAAATATTTTTGATGGAATTTCAGCTGTACATTCCTTTGGGTAAGTATTAAATAACTACATTATCATATGGGGCTTTATTATGAAAAACTTGACCTTTTTTTTGGGCCTGGTCAACTGGAGATTATGAAAATAACTAAACCCATTTGGTCTGAAAAGCTCTTTACATTCCCCAGGTCAGGTCAGGCAAGGGCAGAGTGCTGCAGACCCTTGTTGCCTGAGAAGATTCTGAGTATTACTAGGAAAATGAATGAGGGGCGGTAGGGGAACATTTCACTTTGGCTTTTGTGACTTAAAGTGAATCGAGGCATCAAGCAGTACTTCTCCTGAAGTTACATGCTGTTGTTGGTATGTATGTATAGGGAGATAGATTAAGAAAAACAATTATTTCTGTAAAATAGACACATACCACATGTACTTTGCTGTTTCCAATTAACAATATATGGTGGGGATCTCTCCATAGTATTAATATAGAGATATTGCTCCTTCCTTTTTGTAGCTTCATAGTTTTCTGTGGTCTCACCCAGTCTGCTATCTGTGAACACTTGGGTTATTCCCCTCTTATGCTATTACAAATGATGTAAAGAATAACCTTCTGGGGGCGCCTGGGTGGCTAAGTCATTAAACGTCTGCCTTCGGCTCAGGTCATGGTCCCAGGGTCCTGGGATGGAGGCCCCACATCGGGCTCCCTGCTTGGCAGGAAGCCTGCTTCTCCCTCTCCTGCTCCCCCTGCTTGTGTTCCCTTTCTCGCTCTGTCTCTATCTGTCAAATAAATAAATAAAATCTTTAAAAAAAAAAAGAATAACCTTCTGCATATATCTTTTCATACCTTTGCCAGTGTATCTTTGATTAGGTTGTTAGATGTCAAATTGCTGATTTAGAAGATAAATGCATATGTTGTTCTGCTAGAAGTTGCCAAATTCTCCTCCATTAGTGTATCATTCTGAATTTCCATCAACAGTATACGAATGCCTGTTTCCCCAAGATCTCATCAACAGATTTCAGATGTTTTTATTGTTACCAACCTATTAGGTGAGAAAAACCTGACTGTGGTTTAATTTTCATTTCTCTTACTCTGAGTAAGCTTGAGTATCTTCTTATGGAGTTAACTATTTGCATTTATTTATGTTAATATCTTTAGCTCATTTTTCAGTAAAGTGTTGGCTTATTTCTTGTCTATGTTTAAAAGCTATATTCAGAACATTA